AGGGAGATAGCGAAATTTTCATAATTACGTTTGTTGTAGCTCTCAATCGGCTCTACAAAAAAGGTTATAACAAAAATTTTGCCGTCTCTCTTAGATTCCGAGATATTCATTGAAAACTGGTCAGTAGTAAAAATTGTCTTGTACCGTTTTACCACTTCGCTGCTGAATTTCAGACCAAATTGCCCATGGAATTTCTGATTCATCTCGGACATTCAACAAAATTAACTTTTTCATGATGAATGATCATTGAATTTCTCATGACAATTAAGATTTTCACACCTATCGCGAAAATTAAGCATTACATTCAATTGAATTTTCAAGAGCTTCAAAATTGTGAAGAAAAGTTGCCTAAATTTTCACGATTGTCAGTAATTTTCATTCTCGTATGAATCTGAGAAAACACATTTCATTGAATATTCAAGAAAATTGACTGATTTATCAATAAGAAGTTCAATGAAAATTCCATGTAAATTACTTGTTAAAAACTTGAAGATTTTTTACTATTTCTAATTTCAAGAGTAATTGTCTAACAGTGTCCAAATTTCTAGGGGATAAATACATAAGCATTAAACATACTACCTATACGAACAGTAGTATTAAACATACTACTTATACTATTTATATGAAAATTTGGCAGTTATAACCATCCACGCGATCAATTTCCTTGCAATATTCTATGTTTTCTCTGACATTAGCTAGCGCAAATCAAACCGAGAAACCTAGACTCTTCACTCCAAACGTATTTACCGTATTCCACAGAATGCAACCAGTTCCAGGCGATACGCAGGCATCAAAAGGCATAAGAAAACCCGTTTATCATCGCTGGGGGATACTAGTAATTGCTTCAATGGGGATGAAAAATCCACATATGCCAAATACAATATCATCTCCAGTTATTTTACCAAGTGCGTCGTGTGCACGTGCCTCTGCGACGATCACGAGAATCCCGAGACTATTCGAACTTTCAGTCTAAGAAAAGTCAAAACGAATGTAGCGGAGAACATGTATAATTAATATATCTCCCTCATCACGCACGAAACAATTTAATAGGAAGACCTATCGAATTCGTTAGAAAATTCTATTGAATTATTACTAAACTTTCTATTAGTTTCTGACTGATCTCTTTTCATATATTTTCTATAGAATTTGCTCGACCCAAATTTTCTAAGTTTTTTTCACTCTATTTTTCTTTTCTTCTTATCAAGAAAATCAAACGAAAAAACTTAGAAAATTTGAGCCGAGGAAATTCTATAGAAAATATCTTAATAGAATAAGTTAAATAGAAAAATTGAATTCTATTGACTTTTTCTACTGAATATTTTCTATTGAACATTCAATAGAATCGGCCAAAAACTGATAGAACAGTTTAATAGAAATTCGATACAATTTTCTAACGAATTCGATAGGTTTTTCTATTAAATTTTCTCGTCCGTGATTTCTCCGCATTTAATTATTGCCACGCATTTTCGTTAATCCGAAAAACTTTGCAGGGTGATAACCGGACTGAAATTGACGGAATTGAACGGAACGATTTATATTCAAATTCAGGAGGGGAAATTGAAGAACTTTAATCAGGTGGAGTCCGCGCGTTGGGCCCCTGTAGAGGCCTTCGATGAGATTTACGAAGAAAGTTCTGAAGAGAATTCCTTTACACTCAGGTTTCCAGATCGAAGAGCCGTCAATTTGGATACAATCAGTACTCAAGATGAATTTGTTGTTAAACACGTTGAGAGTGATTATGTTTATTCTCCATATTCTTCCTTGGGGCCTTACGTATTGACAGGTATTTTTCAATTGCAATTTATTTGGTTCTTTGATGTGACCAAAGGCTTTCCGTATTTCGTATCTTTTTCAACCTTTCCTGTCTCATCTGCCTTCCGGCACGAAGAAATTTCGTAGAAAAATCGGACAGAATCGCTGGAAAATTCTAGTGGATTTCTGTTGATCTTCTATTTGCTATTTTATTTATTATGAAGACCCAGCAGCCGAAGCCAATTGTAGGGTCAAGCCATTATATAATACGTATTTAGAAACAAATAAATTTACACATATATGCAATGAAAATATGAGATGATGAGATCCAAACAAATGAAACAGAAGCCTTAGGTTGGTCTTCAAGATTTGACAAACTTGCCCGCCTTTTCAATTCTAGTGGAGGTTGGTGATGTTGTCAAATCCACAGATTCTTCGCAAAATGCACAAATTTCTATTGAAAATTCTGAATTTCATAGAAAAATCACGGAGAACCGTAAATTTCAGTTCAATTCTTCCATGAAAATTGATAAAAATCAGTAGAATCCTGATGATATTCTTAAATTTTCAATTGATTGAAAATTCGGAATAATTTGGCATTGAATATTGACGGTCTCACTGAAAATCAAATAATTTAAAGCATTCTCGTCTTGGCGCTACTCAAAACTAGAGAATTTCATTGAATTTTCATTCACTCATGAGTTTTTCCTTCCTAAATCTCATGTCCTCTTCTGGAAATTACCATAAAAGGTGTTGGCAGGTATTCATTAACAATCAAGCAATCGAGCATTAATGATATTCAAATTAATCTACATAATATAAATCGATGAACAGCAGTTAAATTATATATATAAATCGTAAATTAATTCACAGGAGTTAAATTTGGAACCTGCGAAGGACAATTGAATTTCGGCATTAGGCTGACCGCCTGGAATGCTACAGCACAAAAATTGGAAGTCCCGGAAAGTGATAACTGGATTTTCAAAGACTCCTCACCTAGGTATATCTACCCTCGTGCATTTCCCTATTAACCGTTGATTATTTATCCTTCGTTTTTCACTAGACATTTGACAAAAATAATTCAATAGATGCTGATTTTTTGCATTAACCCTCCAGTGGTCGCGCTGTGAGTAAAGCGCAGTCCTTTTCATTTGTTTCATGATAACTGCGAAAATATCGATAATCACGAAATGCCAATTTAGGAGTTCCTCAAATAATCTGTCCTCGTGGCATTAAATCCGGTTTTATTGTCCTGCGGCCACAAAATTTTTTTTTATCAATTTTTGTGATTTTTCAAAAATTTATTTAAAAAAAAGTACTAACTAGCAAATGTTTTTTATTAGCTCGTAATTTTCTTCAAAACTACTTCAATGAGGAAAAAAATAAAAATTTGGAATATCTATACATGAGGGGCTTATTAATCGAATCTGACTAAGCAGCGTTTGACGCGCGACCAGACTCGTTCGGTGGAGCGGCGCGATCATTCGAGGGTTAATGTTTTAATCTCTTGTGTAAGGTTTTATCTGTTTTTTCTATATCTATTCAATAAATAGACATAAAATAAATGGATATTCAATAGATATAGAAAAAAGTCAACAGATAAAACTACATCAAATCCGTCATTAAATCCGGATACAATAAATATTTAAAAAAAGTTGAATTAATTTTATTTTTTATTTTTTGATATCTATTTCAATAAGTAGATATAAAATAAATGGATATTCAATAGATATTCCTGGTTACCGAATATCTATTAAAAAAACAGTTTTCAGAAGAATTCTAACAGAAATTCACACTGAATTTCAGAACGAAAATTGAACTAAAAAATTCCGACATTCCAACAAAGACGAAGGAGAATGTTGAGGTCGAGGGTCCTAGCTATGTCGAGTTCCAAGCCACTGATAACGTGAAAGATTTCGGGCAAACTACGGTGCCATTCTTGGACGCTAGGGCAGTTGTCACTGAACCTCCAATGCCGTTATCCGGGGCTGGATTGTTCTATAAGGGCAAACCTGGTTATGGAGGTGTCATCGGACTCAAACTTGTATCCCTTGACTTTTCTCAATTCATGGTTACCAAATTGAGATATGAGGATGACTAGTTATTGATGCACAGGAGAGATTTTCAGTGCAGTTAAGTCCGTTCGAGCTTGCTCTCTTAATAATGAGTGAACATGAAATTATATTTTTCTAATATGTATAGTTATTATACGTAATGATTTATAATATAGTTGTGAAATGTAAAACAGCATGAAACAGACACAATAAAAAATTCAAACGAATTATTCCAACCGCTTCCATGAATATTTAAAAATCTGTTGAATTCGATTTTTCTATAAAATTTATTCTATTGAGATAATTTCTATAGAAATTCTTTGGCTTAATTTATTTCTCTCGTTTGATTTTTGTAATGAAAAGAGAAGAAAAATATAATGGAAAAATTTAGAAAATCCATGTTATTCAGAAATTCCTATAGAAAATGTCTCAATAGAATAAGTTTTTTGTGAAAATTGAATTTTGTCGACTTTTTATATACAATATTTTCTATTGAACGGCATTTTTCAATGGAATCGGCCAAAACTAATAAAAATTTCGCTAAAAATCCGAGAGAATCCGCAAGGTTTTTCCACAAAATTTTCTCGTACATGCGACGTTCCAAGGAACGCAATGACTCAGCTCCTTAATGTTTCCGCAACTTTTACTTAGCAAAACGTTAACAATAGATCAATAGTTGAATGAATTTTTAAAAATTGTATCCGCTGACTCTTCTCAATTCATGGTTACCGAGTTGAGAGATGACGATAAATTAATATTACTATGTATAGTTATTATACATAATGATTTTTAATATATGAAATGTACAAATAGTATGAAGCAGACACATTAAAAAATCCAAACGAATTATTCCCACTGCTTCCATAAATATTTAAAAATCTGTTGAATTCGATGTTTCTGTACAACTTATTCTATTGAACGGAATTTTTCAATAGGATCGGCTAAAAACTAATGGAAATTTCGCTAAAAATCCGAGAGAATTCGCAAAATTTCGTGAATTTTCTACGAAATTTTCTCATACAACGTCTGTGGCGTTGTTTCAAGGAACGCAATGACTCAACCCTTCAATGTTTCCGCAACTTTGACACAACAAAACGTTAACAAATTGTTAAATCAATCAGTGGTACCGGTTGCGGACATCCACAGGAAGAGGGCAATGATCGAAGTAGCTTAGCGTGTCCTCTCTCCGAAATAATCTCGCATGCGCCAGGATCCCCAAACACCCCTGGCTAAAGTAAAGGTCGATGGAGTGAGTTGAGTTCATCTCAAAGCCTCGAGCCACTCGGGTCACCAGGCCCACCCTTCCATATCCGTTCAAATCATTGTGATAAAGCTCAATAAATCCCGGAAATATGGCTGACATCAAGGAGCACGTCAAGCCCGAGCAGGAGGACGACGAGAACTACGCCATCAGGAACAATGCGGATCCTAAGAATATGCAGGAGTTGACACAATTCGTGAGTTACTCTTCGTCATTTCGTCGTTGACAAGGGGAAATACACAGATGACAGAATTGTGGTCATTCACTTCTAGGTCCAGACGTTGCTGCAGGGCATGCAGGACAAGTTCCAGGCCATGTCTGATCAGATCATTGGGAGAAATATCCTTTTCGATAGTCAATTTGATATTTTAGGATTTAACTTGACGGAACGGGGCTCACATAACCTGAAAAATCCTTTAACTTCGGCTTTTTAATTTAATTTTCTTGCCTTTTCCAAGAAATTGTACTGCTTTTTTCTGATTCTCAGCAAAAAATCTTTCATTTTTTCACGCTTTTCATAGTAGTATTCATGAAAAAAACTTAATGCATGTTGATTTATATTAATATTTTTCTGGTCATATTTTTTCTTTAATTGTTTCTTGGATTTTGTAATGCAAGACACAGAATTGAGTGGACACACGGACGACAAAAGTTGATAGAAAAACCTATCGAATTCGAAAATTCTATTGAATTTTCTAACGAATTTGATAAGCTTTTCTATTAAATTTTTTTCGTGCGTGCATGCACGAAAAAAAGCTTAGGAAATTTTCACTCAGGGAATTTCATCGGGAATTTATAATCTCAGTTTATTCCTGATTTTCACAGTAATATTCATGAAGAAAAGTTAATGAATCTTGATTCATATTCATATTTTTCTGGTCATGAATTTTTTAAATTGTTTCTTAAATTTTGTAATGTGAGATTTAAAAAATTGAGTGGAAGAAAACTTAGGAAAGTTATACGCAGGGATTTCTATGAAAGAATCTATTGATCTTTCCGTGAAATATTCCTTTGAAAAAATACTGTTTTATCTTGAATTTTTTTTGCGAATGTGTTAGGTTTTTCTTTTGAATGAAAAGAAAATTAGTAGAAACGAATCTAGTATATTTTCAATTATCATTTCAATAGAATTCCAATAGAAAAATATTTTACATTTCATTTTATATGCACGAATTTTTTTTCTGGGAATGGGCAAGAAATTGGTACATCATTACAGGACATGGTGAAATAACACTATTGATAACAGAAAACAGACAACATTTTTTTTCAATATTCATTTTTTTTCATTATTTTCATTATTTTGTTTACATTCATTCTGAAAGAATTTCCAATGGATTTAAAACAAAATTTAATTATATAGTTGAACAAATTAATTAAATGATTTTTTAAACAGAATTCCCAAAAATTTTTTATTTGAACGTGTTAGATCTCCCTCTTGAATTCTTTTATAAGAGTCGAGTACATAAAATCCTTAATAGTAAACACTAGACGAAATGGGCAATCGAATAGACGACCTGGAGAAGAACATCGCCGACCTGATGACCCAGGCTGGAGTAGAGGGTACAGACAAGTGAATCCATTCCATCCAACAGAGCACTAATGAATTCAACGGTTTCCACTGAGCCATAATTAACGATATCATTTGTTATCACTGAGGTTTATCAATAAATTATACATTTTTTTGAGAATAATACTTGTGGTTGTTTTTGTTATTTGGGGCAGGTTCTTCATCGTGGAAGAGGGTAGGGAGCTTTAGCCTCGAACTATTGGGGGGAACAGTCTCAGGACGAACCTCCTGGGGGACTTCGGGATTACTGTCTTCGATAACACCTGATAAAATTCGATTTATTGGTTTAGGTTTCATTTATCCAAGGGAATTGTTAGGGTTTTGGCTTGGGTCTCACTGGACGTTGTTGGATTGACTCCTCGGAGTCTTCTTCCTCGGTGGAGTCTCCATACTCCTCGACCTGGACTGAGTCTGATGATGTTGCTTTCAGAGAGTCCTGAAATAAATTGCATTTTTTGTCGATTGATGTTTTTTTTAGACTTTCGTAATTTTTATTTGAGATAAAAATTTCAGATTTTCTGTTTTTCATTTATGTTGATGAATCTCATATTATTTGGGATATTTTTGGAAGAATGAATTGGAATTGAGTAGTTTAGTGATAAAATAAAAAACTATTTTACTTTTCTTGAGGAATATCTCGAATTATTTCAAAATATAAATATAAATTGATAATAATAATATGTAAATAGATTCTAGTAATCATCTTTTACTAAAGATTATTTTACGTTTTCCACAAAAATACTATAATTTACAATGCCAAATTATTGCATTTTTCACTAGCGTTGTTTCAAGAATTTCAAAAAGGCAGAATTTGCTGCACAATTCCTCGATCACCTGAGGCATTTTTAATGAAAATTATGTGAAGAATTATAAAAAAAACTCTTCGAACATTTTTCGATGAATTCAATGATTCATAAAAAATTTGCAGAACAATCTGAATGAAAATTTAATTTTAAGAATGAATAATTATGCACTCACGATTGATTCTGCAGGTCTGCTCGCTAATTTTTTTAAATTCAGTGGCGACGCTGCGAGACGATTGGCTAAGTTCCCCAGAGAGTGGGACTGACGAAAAGATGTCCTTCTCACGGTGTCGAGACGTGCCATCGTGTCAGGAATGTTGAGAACCTCTCGAAATTCCTGTAGAATTAATTAATTTATGAGTTTTTCGTGGAAAACTTGATTTAGCTTGCCACTACGGTAGGTTCTACATTAATTGACGTTTGAGAAGGCTAAAATTACCCCGCTATGCTCTCCTCTGGCTACTTGATAGTCCTGCATGTCACAGATTCGATTTTAATATAAGAGAGATGATCTGTTATTTTTATGGTCTCACCTCTAAATCCTTGGCTTCATCGATCTCAGCAATGTCTCGATAAGCTTTCGTCAGGAGTTCCACCGTCTTCGTGTGGAAACTCAACTCGATGTTCACGAAATCGAGGAGCAAGTGCTTCACATCGTGGAGTTTCTGCTTCTCGAAGGAATCTATCTGCTCTTCCAGACCTTTCACCACTCGAGATACCTCAACTGTCGCTTTCATCAGCTCTGACTCTGCTTGAGACTGATTTTTTGTCAAGAAAAATCAATCTAGCCAATTCACTAATTTTTCCTTTTGTTTTCACTACAATTTTTCGAGTGGAGATGATAAAAAATGATATGAAACAAATTGGAAAATTTATACTGTAGTTATTTTGTAATTTGCATTGCAAAATCAAAAATTTATTTATTTTTTTTTGGCTCGGTTGCCCAACCCTTGGGAAGGAAATAAATTCCTGAAATAAATTCCAGGGTGAAATTAATACATCAAAAGTAATTAATTTTTCTATTTTTGTCACTACAATTTTTTAAGTGGAGATGATAAAAAATACGGTGAAAAAACTGGAAAATTTATGCTGTAATTTATTCTGTAAATTGCATTGAAAATCCGAAATTCATAAATTTTTTTGGCCCGGTTGCACCAACCTTTGGAAAGCAAATAAATTCCAGGGTAAAATCTATATATCAAAATTAATTAATTTTTCAATTTTTTTCACTGCAATTTCTTAAAGAGAAATGATAAAAAATGCAGTGAAAAAATTGGAGAATTCATGCTGTAATTTATTCTGTAAATTGCATAGCAAATCCGAAATTCATAAATTTTTTTGGCCCGGTTACACCAACCTTTGGAAAGTAAATAAATTGCAGGGTAAAATCTATATACCCAAATTAATTAATTTTTCAATTTTCTTTCACTGTACTTTTTTTAACGGGAGATGATAAAAAATGCGGTGAAAACAACAGACAAAATTTGTTCCGTAATTTATACTGCGATTTACACTGCAAATTTGTTTCCTCAAAAATTCGTGCCGTAATTTATTCTGTAATTTGCATTGTAAAGTCAAAATATATTAATTCTTTTCTGGCTCGGTTGCACCAAGTCCTGGGAAGCAAATAAATTCCAGAGTAAAATCTACACCCCAGGTCAATGATATCCTAGGGTTAACAATTTTTTAATATTCATGAGAATAATTTTGAGAATAATTTTCTATTTATGGCATAGCCTCGTCTGAGTTAACACGGGTCTAACCTTTGGGTTAATTAATTTTTTTCCTCAGGATACATTTCAAATGCTCCATCAATGGAAATAATCCATTGAACTTTAAAATTTACCCTCTCCCTTAACCGACGACTTAGTCAACAGGAGTTGGTGCATCTTATATTTTTTATTGAATAGTGCCACTGAAAAACGTGCATCAGTCATAAATTCACATCTAAAATCACAGTATAAATGTTATACTGGAAAAAACCTTTGGGATTTTTCCATAAAACGATTCATCATCGCGATAATTTAAAAATGAACAAAAAATTGATTCAACTTATCAAGTTTGACTATTTCCTTGTGACTCAATTATTCACTTCTTGAGAAAAGGATACGATCAATTGTCTATTCCTAGGATTTCTCTCCCGCACCTTATCCAACTGTCTTCGTTTCACCAATTGCCTGTCCCTAGCTGTGAATGTATTCTTCACATCCTCACGTGCATGCTTACAAATTATTGAGTACTGAGAGAGAGGAGCGATAATTTTTGAATCCAATCTTCGAACTTCCGCATCTCTGAAAGGTGTTCAAAGTATTTAGCGATGAGAACTGATTCTAAAAATTATTCTAGTTAATTTAAGCACCTGTAATCTCCAATGACTGACAAAGTAGTTGAAAAATTCGTTAATCCACTACTCAGAGACCGATTAATTGTCTCAGACTCTGCGTACGTTTGGATCACCTTGGCAACCTCGTCATTTTTATCCCGCAATCTATGAATTGACATGAATTAAATTCACCATTGCACAAACGGAAAAATGTAGATAAAATCTAGCGAATTCGCTAGAAAATTTTATTGGACTTCTATTGAATTTTCCGTTAGTTTTCGGCAGATTGAGAATTTCTGCAATTTAACTGCGATTTTTTTGCAATAGAAATGTTCAATGCAACATATTCTGTAGAAAAAATCAATGAAGTTTGATCAATCTATGAATTAAAATGAATTAAATTAATTATTACACGAACGGAAAAATGTAGAAAAATCTAGCGAATTCGCTAGAAAATTTTATTGAACTTCATTAAATTTTACATTAGATGTTGGCCGATTGAGAATATCTGCAACTTATCTGCGAATTTTTTCAATAGAAATGTTCAATGGAACGTATTCTGTAGAAAATATCAATAAAGTTTGATTAATCTATGAATTAAAATGAATTAAATTCATCATTACACGAACGAAAAAATGGAGAAACCTAGCGAATTCGCTAAAAAATTCTACTGGATTTTTATCGAATTTTCCGTTAGTTTTTGGCTGATTCTATTGAAAATTTCTGCAATTTATCTGCGACTTTTTTTCAATAGAAACGTTCAACGGAACATATTCTACACAAAAAATTAATACTTCAATTTTTCTACACAAATGATTCTATTGACATATTTTCTGCAATTTCCTGTTAAAAATTAAATACTTGCCTAGCCGCTTTTCTCGTGAATGCAGCGAATACAGTGCACAACTCAGCGAAATGTTTTTCTACCCCAGTTATTCTATCTTGAACAAACTTCGCCTCTTGCTCGCTAACCAAAGAGAAAAATATGTGCCACATGAATTCAGGACCTTTTATTTTCCATTTTCAAAAGGGAGAGTAAACTCACCAGACTGACCCCTGCGATCGCGATCTCAGCATTTTGATTATTAATTCGACAAAAATAATAAACTTCGTGGAGGATCTTTTATTCTCCAGTTGTGATAACAGTTTCTGTAAACGTCAGTATCGTAGGGTTGTTTTGTTATTAGTAACAGTTCCCTGAAGGCAGGTGGTGGGTCGCCAGGTGTAGTAAAATTCACCCTGTCTATATTATCGTGGACAGCTACAGTGCGTTCGCTCTTTCGACCCATTCGGTGAAATGTATTGGATTAATTTTGAATATCTGAATTTTTTTAATGCGGATTAAATCAATTTTTTCACAACTGCGAAGGAGTGACCTGCACCACTGCCAATTAAAACTCCTTTATATCCCCTGGGAATCGATATTCTCTGCGGGGACCAGACGTTTTCTGTGTGTCCATTTCCACAGTTTCCGTGCTCGTTCCAGCCCCAGGAGAAAATATCTCCTTTAGCTGATGAAGAAAAAATAATCAATCAGTTTTTTAAAGTCAACAGATTTCTATTTATCTATTCAATTTAATGCATTTAAATTTGTTCTGTTAATTCCCTGGGTATAAATTGTATTTTTTTTATTTTCAATGCGGAATAAAAAGTCTATAAAATTTCTGCTAAGGCATATAAACAATCAATTTTCCACCGTTGAAATTATTCCAGAAAGATTTCCGAAAGTTTAAAAAATGAAAATTATTTATTTAGAAGAAGGAGATGTTTCAAATCTGAAATATTCATTCTTTTTTTCCATTTTCCTCCCGCCATTCAATGCAAGACTGAAAAACATGTGGATATCCGGGATTGAATTCTCAAAAATAAAATAAAAAAATTACTGTTGAGTGCAATATTGTGTTCGGATCCAATCTCCAGTTGTTCAATCTCTCGGAGGCCACTCAGATGCCTCGGAATCCAAGGAGAGTCTTGACGAGAATGGCCCAACTGCCCATAAGTGTTCCTCCCCCACGTGAAAACCTGCCCATCCCTCGTGAGGACCCCCGTGTGTGTCCACCCACATCGCAACGTCTTAATCCCCTCAATCTCTCTACTCAGTTGCAAAGGAACCTTCTGACTCTTGACCCCATTAACATCAGCCCCCAATTGACCCCACTTGTTATCCCCCCACGTGTAAATCACCCCCTCATTCCCGACAGCTGTGCTGAAATATTGCCCACAGGAGATGTCGTTGATTCCTGATATACCTGGAACTGTCGCAGAACAATTAATCCGATACTTCTGGGTCAAAGATTGAAGTATGGACTTGAGGCGGGATTAATTAATTATATAGTATTGCATTCTATTTTATAATCTTTGGATTTTTTAATTCAGGAAAAATAAGTAGAATACTTGATGCTTATTTGCAATTAATCCAGCTTTTTTAGTAGTCATTTTCCGGAATTTGACAGAATATTTCAACAGAGGAAACAATTTTATGAATAATTGATATAAAAAAATTAATACGAAACCTCTTGGCATAGAAAAAGGGTTAAATTATGGATCCGAGGCGGAGCAAATTAATTATATAGTATTGCATTGTATTTTATAATCATTGAATTTTTTTATTCAGGAAAAAAAGTTGAATGATTGATGGTAATCATTTGCAATTTATCCAGATTTTTTAAGATAGTAATTTTTCTGTATTTGACCGAATATTTAAACTGAGGAAACAATTTTATGAATAATTGATATAAAAAAATTAATCCGAAACTCCGTGGCATAGAAAAAGGATTAAATTGTGGATCCGAGGCGGAGCGAATTAATTATATAGTATTGAGCTCTATTTTATAATCATTGAATTTTTATATTCAGGAAAAATAACTAAAATAATTGATGTTAATTATTTGAAATTAACCCAGATTTTTTTAAATACTAATTTTCCTGTATTTGACGGAGTATTTAACGAGAGAAAACAACAATAATATTGTATAAATAATTGATACAAAAAAATCAATGCGAAACTTCTAGATACAGAAGAAGAATTGAATTATGGACCCAACGCGGAGTTAATAAATTATATAGTAGCAAATTCTACTCCATAATCATTGAATTTTTTATTTAAAAAAATAAGTAGAATAATTGATGGTAATCATTTGCAATTAAATAATTTTCTATAATATATAGAATTTTTAAATAAATTGAGCACTTTAAACAAAAAATAATAATAAACAATAAAATAAATAAAACAGGGATTAAAACTGAGATGATGTTTTAACCCCCTTCGATCTTCCATCTCGACCAAATGAAGCAGCAAACAATAATTCCCTTTAATATTTAAAATAAAGACTGAATAGGTACAACCACTCGTCCAAAATATGACCTTTCAGAGAGAATTTATGAAACAACATTACCAGAAACGTCAAATAATTACCAGATAGAAAGGCGCCCGCCTGTCGGACAGTCTCGTCATTTGCATCGATAATCCCAAGTTGAAATTTGCTACCTGCACCGGCCACCAATAGACAGCCATCCTCAGTAAGGAGAATGGAGTGTCGCAAACCCATTGCAATCCTCTTGACTCTCGAGGCAATGTCTATTTTATCGGGTACACTTGTCCATTCACTGGCACTTCTGCCCAATTGTCCGAAACAATTGGAGCCCCAGGTATAGACTTGACCGTTGTCAGCGAGTGCAATCGAACTGTCCCACCCGCAGGCCACATCCTTTATTCTTACGTTCTTGAGAGCATCAATTGTTTGCAAATTGAGGATTATTTTTGCCCGGGGAATTCCCGCTTGGCCCTTCTTGTTCCAGCCACACGAGTACAGTTTACCTGTGTCCTCCAGAATCAGTGTGTGACCTGCACCACCCACTATTTTTGATATTCTCGACGGATTCAGGCTTGTTTTAGAGAGATCTATCTCTTCGGGCAACTGCGACTGTTCGGATTCATAACCGAGGCTTAATTGTCCGTGAGAATTGGCACCCTAAAATTTTTCAGCGTTCTTTCAGGGGGTGCTTGGAATCTTTTGTCATATTGGTGAAATATTATGAGTAATGAGGGGAGAATTTTTGGGTTTATTGCTTCTGGAGGATTAACGTGTCTCTGCGAATGCGAATGGTTGAGAAGACCAATGGTCTGGGGCACCTCATTGTTAAATAATTTCAAGGGTTTAGAGGAAAGGAAAATTGTATTTATCTAATTAACTTTTTGAGACTGGACAAAAGATTAATTATAAGGTAAAATCATTAGGGAAGTGCTACAGAATGAGAATGGAGCAAAAGTTGTTTGCATTTTTTGCAGCATTCCGTCAAATCGTTTTAGAATTTCAAATAGATTCTTCTTCTCCTGCAATTTAATTATGTGATTGTAATTTTATTATAAAAGTGAAAAAAGGGCGCTTTTTGCACGCTTCGCGCGCAAGGGATCACCTTTTTCTCACCAGTATCATACAATATCGTACGATACATATAAAAAACTGTACGTTGGACGCATCAAAATATTTTTTTTACTTGTATCGTAGTATACTATTTCCGTGACAATTGAGGGCAGAATTTTTGGGTTTATTGCTTGTGGAGGATTAACGTGTCTCTGCGAATGCGAATGGTTGAGAAGATCAATGGTCTGGGGCAGCTCATTGTTAAATAATTTCAAGGGTTTAGAGGAAAGGAAAATTGTATTTATCTAATTAACTTTTTGAGACTGGACAAAAGATTAATTATAAGGTAAAATCATCAGGGAAGTGCTAGAGAATGAGAATGGAGCAAAAGTTGTTTGCATTTTTTGCAGCATTCCGTTAAATCTTTTTAGAATTTTAAATAAATTTTTCTTCAATTTGATTATGTGATTGAAATTTTATGATAAAAGTGAAAAAAGGACACTTTTTTGCACGCTTCGCGCGCAAGGGATCACCTTTTTCTCACCAGTATCATACAATATCGTACGATACATATAAAAAACTGTACGTTGGACGCATCAAAATATTTTTTTTACTTGTATCGTAGTATACTATTTCCGTGACAATTGAGGGCAGAATTTTTGGGTTTATTGCTTGTGGAGGATTAACGTGTCTCTGCGAATGCGAATGGTTGAGAAGATCAATGGTCTGGGGCAGCTCATTGTTAAATAATTTCAAGGGTTTAGAGGAAAGGAAAATTGTATTTATCTAATTAACTTTTTGAGACTGGACAAAAGATTAATTATAAGGTAAAATCATTAGGGAAGTGCTAGAGAATGAGAATGGAGCAAAAGTTGTTTGCATTTTTTGCAGCATTCCGTCAAATCTTTTTAGAATTTCAAATAGATTCTTCTTCTCCTACAATTTAATTATGTGATTGTAATTTTATTATAAAAGTGAAAAAAGGGCGCTTTTTGCACGCTTCAAGCGCAAAGAATCGCCCTTTTCTCACCAGTAAAATGTCGTACGCATCAACCATATTTTTTTTACTTGAATCGTTATATACTGTTTCGGATTTATAACCGGGGTTTAATAGTCCGTGTGAATTGGCACCCTAAAATTTTTCAACGTTCTTTGAGGTGCTCTGAGGTGCTTTGAGGTTCATTTTCTTGTTCGGGCTCTTTTGTAATATTGGTGAAATATTATGAGTAATGAGGCCAGAATTTTTGGGTTTATTACTTTTTGAGGATTAGCGTGTCTCTGCGAATGTGAATGGTTGAATAGACCAATGGTCTGGGGTAGCTCATTGTTGTTGAGTGTTTAAAACGATTCCAAGGGTTTAGGGGAAAGGAAAATTGCATTTATCTGATTAACTTTTTGAGACGAGACAAAAGATTAATCATGTCGTCAGCCTGATGAAGGTAAGATCATTAGTGAAACTTTATAAAAAAACAATTAAGGATAACCAAGCGCTTTGGCCATTTTTTCTCTAGTGAAATGCGTCTCTACTTTTGTAGTCAAACATCGGAATTTCCGGACATGTTACAATCATTTTATTATTTTAACTTTGCAAGTAGCAATTTTTTTAAAATTACGAGCATTTTCTATACACAATTTATAAACGATCAATTTTCCCCTATAAAAACTATTTGTTCGGAATCGTAGTAAATTCATTAATATTCGGCAAGTTTAAACAATTTCAATTATTTAGTCATTTAAAATTTCTGAATATGGTTCGCGGGAACGTAGAGAACGCTGCAGTTGAAAAATGCGCGCACACGTGTTCTCTCCATCAGTTTGATCTCACGACGTGACAATTCCATTTTTATTCAGAAGCAATAAATAAGGATTCATTCATCCAAGCGAATAAATGAAATCTGCATAATTGAAAATTTATTTTTATTGGTTAGAATTTTTGTTATGATTTCATCAGAATTTTGAGACAATTGTTGAGTTCTTTCTCACTGTTTTTTGTTTCCGAAATAAACTTTGTCAGAAACTTTGTATTTGACCGATTTTTCAATTTTCTAATTTTGATTGCAAGTAGTCTAAAATATCATAAAACGCGAAGAAATTATGTTTTTAGGGTCATGTCTCTATGCATGTGACAATTGGTTTTTATTCTTTCACTAAAAAATTCAACCAAGAAAAATAAAAAATTACGAGCCGAATAATTTCTGTGGAAATATTCTCATTAGTTAATTTATCGAATTAACTCAATTTCAATTCATTATTTAAAATTTCTGTTCGAATTTTGTTCGCGGGAACGTAGAGAGCGCTGCAGTTAAAAATGCGCTCACACGTGTTCTCTCCATCAGTTGAGCTCACGACGTAGTAATTCCATTTTTATTTAGAGACAATAAATAAGGATTCACTCACCCAAGCGAATAAATGATAACTCTCCATGATTGAAAACTTATTTTTCACCCGTTAGAATTTTTTAATGGGTTCAATCGCAGCTCAAGAGCATTGTTGAGACGTCAATAATACGGGGGATCAACAATGGGTGACAATCGCGCACTGGGCGATTTGGGATTGCCGCGGTGACGCACTCGGTGCATCGGTACAGCAGAGCCCTACTCCATCAGTTGGAGTGGTTTGCCGCTCAAAATAATAACAATCTTTTGGTGTTGTGCATGTTAATCGGTTTTTAGTGCATAAGTACGATTCATTGAGTCATGTGAGATTTCTGAAGTGAAGTGTCTGTCGGATTGGCTGCAATTTTTTATAGAAGACTGTTATTATTTGGTGAAATGGAGGAGTCTGTGATGAAATTCGATATCAAGGAGGTTAAGATCGACACTCTGCGGGCGATATCGGAGTGCTCCCAGCGAGGATTATTGAACTCAACGAAATGGTAAATAAACCCGTCAGTTTCTAAAAAATTTGTTGACAGAACGAGAGAATTTAATTCAATTCAGACTTCGGTTTTTGCTTGATATCTCGGAATTGAAGAGTGATAGCGAAGTTTTCATAATTGTTTTTTTTTGCAGTTCAGAAATTTTTTTACAAGTAATGTATTAGGTATTATATTAATTATAAAACAAATTTGTTGTGAAGTAGAATTGCCTCATTTTCGCTTTCCTGTTTAGTTACTGGGGACGATCTCTGATAAAAATGATTAAAAACCAAATCAACAGATCTTTTTTCATAGTTTGAAGAATCTCTCACATGAAATTCTTTACAAAAATTTGTTTATCTCTCTCCAATTCCAAGAGATTCTCCAAAAAACGGGTCTATTCGCGGATAAAATTATTGACTGATTTCGCTTGACCATTCAGTTCTTGATAAGTACTTTGCGAACGAAAGGGTTTACGAAAAAATATGAGAAGATTCTGTTTGTAATTTAAAAAATTATCTACAGCATTTTTTCATCTCTCTTCAATGTCGAGATGTCCGTAAACACAAATTTTCTCCTAAAGAATATTTGCTTCTTCGCATTATACTCTTTACTTCTCAAGTAAATATCTCTAGAATAAATGCGTTCACCAGAGAATACCGGGAGACCTTTTTTCCATCCCACGATTCTTCCCAAAATAAGTTATGAAACAAATTCGTCTCCCTCTTTTCTCCTCCAAAAAAACTCTTCACAAAAAATTGCCCCCCACCTTCCGAATATTCCCAAAAAACCGTTGTATTCAAAATTAAGTAGGCCTTATCCGACCCTCTGTTCCCCCTTATTCGTCCTCCCCCCCCTCCCTCCCCTCACAAAAAAAGAAATAATTCCAGGTTATCCATCTCTTTTCCTCCACTAATTCTCCACGAAAAAAATGACAAAAATATGTCGCCCTCTTTCCATCTCAAAAACTGTTGTTCATCAAAAGAATTATTACCCTCCTTCCGAATCACTCCCAAAACACTGTTCTATTTAAAATTGAGTACTGGGCCTCATCCTATTCCTTCTCCCCCCGTTTCGACCTCACTAACCCCCCCAAAAAAAATGAATTCCAGGTATTCATCCTTCTCAATCCCTCGACATTCCCCAAAACTTCCATAAGTTCTTTTTTCGATCTCAACAAATTCTCCACAAAAAAACTAATCCTAAAAAAATTGCTCACCATATTCCAAATTATTCTATTCGAAATTAAGCAGTAGGCCCCATCCCGCCTCCTCCCTCATTCGTTCGCCCTAACTCAAAAAAAAATTAATATCAACTTATTTATCCTTTTCCAATCTCGCGCTATTCCCCAAAGTCCCCAAAAGTTCTTGTTTTGACCTCAACAAATTCTCCACAAAAAACTCATCACAAAAATACATCCCCTCCCCCCGACGTGTATCTAGAAACCTCGTTCATCAAAAAATTAATTCCCCTCCTTCCGAATTATTCCCAAAAAACCGTTGTATTCAAAATTAAGTAGGCCTTATCCGACCCTCTGTTCCCCCTTATTCGTCCTCCCCCCCTCCCTCCCCCCACAAAAAAAGAAATAATTCCAGGTTATCCATCTCTTTTCCTCCACTAATTCTCCACGAAAAAAATGACAAAAATATGTCGCCCTCTTTCCATCTCAAAAACTGTTGTTCATCAAAAGAATTATTACCCTCCTTCCGAATCACTCCCAAAACACTGTTCTATTTAAAATTGAGTACTGGGCCTCATCCTATTCCTTCTCCCCCCGTTTCGACCTCACTAACCCCCCCAAAAAAAATGAATTCCAGGTATTCATCCTTCTCAATCCCTCGACATTCCCCAAAACTTCCATAAGTTCTTTTTTCGATCTCAACAAATTCTCCACAAAAAAATTAATCCTAAAAAAATTGCTCCCCATATTCCAAATTATTCCATTCGAAATTAAGCAGTAGGTCCCATCCCGCCTCCTCCCTCATTCGTTCGCCCTAACTCAAAAAAAAATTAATATCAACTTATTTATCCTTTTCCAATCTCGCGCTATTCCCCAAAGTCCCCAAAAGTTCTTGTTTTGACCTCAACAAATTCTCCACAAAAAACTCATCACAAAAATACATCCCCTCCCCCCGACGTGTATCTAGAAACCTCGTTCATCAAAAAATTAATTCCCCTCCTTCCGAATTATTCCCAAAAACCGTTTTACTCGAAATTAAGTACAAGATCTCACCCCATCCTGCTCCCCGGTCAATCGTCCACACTAACCCCCCCAAAAAACGAATTCTAGGTTATCCGAGTTAAACTACTCTCTCCGCGACATAAAGTTGGACGGTCACGACATGACCCAAGACATAAGCCTAGTAGAAACCTGCCTCGAAGACGACCAATACATCCTCGCGAAAAGTTACTTCGACCTAAAAGAATACGACCGCGCCGCGTACTTCATAAAATCCTGCAAGAGCCCAAAGACCCGTTTCCTCTACCTGTATTCTCGCTACCTCTCCGGCGAGAAAAAGAAGATCTACGACATGACAGACGTTCCCCCCGACCCCCTAAAGAACGAGGAGCTCAAGCTGCTCTCCAGCGACCTGCGAAAGGACCACATGTCCGGTCAACTGGACGGTTTCGGCCTGTACCTCTTCGGCGTAACCCTGAAGAACTTACGATTGACCCACGAGGCTGTTGACGTCCTGGTGGAGTCGACCCACAAGTACCCGATGCACTGGGGCACGTGGTTGGAGCTAGCAGGTCTGATAAACGACAAGGAGAAGCTAGACAGCCTGACCCTTCCAAACCACTGGATGAAGCACTTCTTCATGGCGCACATGTTTCTGGAGCTTCAACTTCTGGACGAGGGTCTAGCCCTCTACTGCGAGCTGCAGTCCATGGGTTTCGAGAAGAACGGTTACGTCCTGGCGCAGACAGCAATAGCAGTTCATTATCGAAGAGACGCTGAGAATGCAATCGAAACGTTCAAGAAGATCATCAAGGATGATCCTTACTGTCTAGACAACATGGACACCTACTCAAATCTGCTTTACGTCAAGGAGATGAGGGTGGAGTTGGCTGATCTTGCCCATCGTGCCACCGCCATCGACAAGTACAGGCTGGAGACTTGCTGCATTGTTGGGAATTATTACAGCCTGAGGGCTGACCACCAGAAGGCTGTCATGTATTTTCACAGGGCGTTGAAGCTGAATCCTCAATATCTGTCGGCTTGGACACTTTTGGGACACGAGTTCATGGAGTTGAAGAACACTAATGGAGCTATTCACAGCTATCGACAGGCTATCGAGGTCAACAGGAGGGATTATCGTGCCTGGTATGGGCTCGGGCAAACCTATGAGATCCTCAAAATGCCTTTCTACGGGCTTTATTATTACAAACAGGCGCAGAGGCTGAGGCCACACGACAGCAGGATGATTCTTGCTCTCGGGGAGGCGTATGAGAAGCAGGACAAAATACAGGACGCGCTCAAGTGCTATTACAAGGCGTGCAATGTCGGGGATATCGAGGGAATGGCGCTAATTAGACTCGCTACCCTTTATGAGAATTTGAATGAGGAGGAACATGCCGCTGCGGCGTACAGCGACTTTGTGATGGATGAGTTTAGGAGCGCTGATAGAACAGAGTTGAGCCATGCGTACAAGTTTTTGACGCAGTATCATTTGAAGAGGGAACAATTGGATCAGGCTAATCATTATGCGCAGAAGTGTCTGCAGTTTGATGAGACTAAGGAGGAGGCTAAGGCGTTGTTGAGGACTATTGCGCAGAAGAGGATCAAGGTGGAGGAGATGATTGTTGTAAGTTAGCTTGAGGGGTTTTTGATTTAGATACGGCTTTAATTTCAGGTTGGCGGGCATTTGCGGAGGCACTCCTGGGGGTGAAGCTGAAACTAGCGAATATTCGTCAGCGGAAAATTGAATTCAGGGGATATTTAAGTGTGGGAGAGTCAAATAATCATATGTACACATGTTTTTTAAGTGCGAAAGAGTTTGTACATTAGTTAAAAACATTTGTACGCCCCTAGATTCGCGTAAGACAAATCTGCTGTCGAATCTTTCGCTAATTTCAGCGTCATCTTCTGAGGGGCTGCGCTATCTCTTAGAATTCTAGATTTTTCTAGAAAATTCGGGAACATTGTCTGGTATTCCCTAATTTTTTCTGTTTGTTTTTAACTATTGCCTTTTTACTGTTCAAAAATCTGGACTTTTATTTGAAATTTCATGCTGTTGGCCCCCCTAAATTGAATTATCTCTCGCTTACCTGAACATTAATCCTAAACTATCCGAATACAATTCTAAAATAGCACAAATATGGCTGTCTCAATTTTTTCCAAGAAACAATCATTTGGTTGTAGATGGAAATGGAAAAAGAAAGTTGTTTTTCTCATTGTCTTTCAAAAAAATTCAGATATTTTACCAAAATAATTTCATTAAATCTTTTACTTCTTCTCTACTTGATTCCATCCTCAACATTTTGTAAATATCTCAAAAACCGATGATTTAAAAAACAATGTGTCATCACATTTTTTGTAGCTCTTGAAATTCTCTACAAAAAATTCTTCACACAAATTGCTACATCTCTTGTACATAATGAGATATATTCAAGAAACTAATCTTCACAAATGTCGTAAATTAATTTCTCCATTTCTTGCATTCACCCATTCACAATTTTTTTTCAGATTGAGGACATGAATGAGACTGACCCCGTGGGCGAGCGAAGTGCCCAGGTGGAGAACACCCCGGGGAGTCAATCCTCCCCGATGAACCTGTCGTTCACCCCCACCCAGTGAACACCAGCTCTGCAATTAATTTATAAACTGTTCTGTTATGAATTAAACAATTACCATTGAACGATTTTTGTAATAAAACCATTCTCAGAGAAACAAATGACGACTTCCTGACTCCTCTCAATACCTCAAAAGTGGTTATGAAACCCATAGACTAATTCGTCAATCATCAGAATAATTGAAAACATCTCTCTCACCCGGAAACACCGATCTATGGACACTACCTGGGTACGTGACAACCCTCAATACCCAACTAAACCACCTTCCACTCGCTGGGGATTAAAAATTTTAATTTATTGGTTAAAATGTTTCGTGAAAGCGGATTAACCTGAGGGAATTTTTTTCGTGGAAAATTTTTCAAAGAAAGTACAGAGAGAGAGACTGTCCTCGTTCTGTTTAATGACTTTATTGCAGACGAGCGGCCGTGCTGGCGCGCACGTTGCCCCAGCCGATGGCCCACGCCGGTCATAAACACCCCC